TTTATTTTTGGGACAGAGAGAGACAGAGCATGAACGGGGGAGGGGCAGAGAGAGAGGGAGACACAGAATCGGAAACAGGCTCCAGGCTCCGAGCCATCAGCCCAGAGCCTGACGCGGGGCTCGAACTCACGGACCGCGAGATCGTGACCTGGCTGAAGTCGGACGCTTAACCGACTGCGCCACCCAGGCGCCCCATATCTTACATTTTTTAAATGTAATTTGAACTTAACATTTTTAGATGCAAATTTTTTAGATCCCTCCTTAATCCATTTTTGAGAGCATTTTTGAGATCATTGAATTTATAGCATCTATTCCAAACAATTTCCCTCCTTATGTAGCAACCTTTCACTTTGGCTAGGACTCAGACCACCCAAAGCTTCCGAGGTGGCCCCAGACAGTTAAAGCAAGGCCAAAGATGGGTCTTCAGATTCTGAGACTAAAATCTCCACGTTATAATTCTCTGCCTCATGAAATAATGATTGCTTCAATAGCAGGTATACGATCTTAATTAGTCTAATCAGAGTAAAACTAAGTTTTGCTCTATGACTGGGAATGGGAATCTCTTGTGGGGCGGAAAATGAAAGCAGGTGACCATAGTTGTAGGTGGAATAAATCTTGTGAACCTAAGGGAAGGTGGCTTTAGGAGTAAGCCTGCTTTAAACAAAACTAGCATGTTTGTGTACTTATTAAATACTTTGGTAAATTATGAGAAGCTGGAACTAAATTATGACTTTACATAATGCGTTCCACCCCAATATTTTACTTCATTTTCTCCCAGTTCACAGTTCACTGCTGTTAAGGAAATCTACAGAGATGCCTTCTTGTACTATAATAACTATCTATTTGTGTTCCATCTTACAGTTTATCCAATTTCATATCCTCTGAGAAGACTCTCAAAGTGACTCATGTATACTTTCCCTTTGCATTACAACCGAAAGAAGGCCAAGTAATGATGCAGTCTTCTTTCAGGTTTTCAGTCCTCTCAGAAATACTACAAACTTCTGGGGGCCAGGAATCACATCTTGTTTTTAAAACAATACTAACAACATCAGAAACTGTAAAGAGTATAAAACAATTCTTATGGAAGATAGAATATATTTTTAATCACTACACACAATGAGTAAAACAACATTTGTTTCTAAAGGGACATTTATATTAGTGGAATTTAGGTAGCTTTCATCTAACTGAAAATCTGTGGAGACGCATGGTGGCGCTGCAGGATAACATCGCGCCGGGGGAAAAGAAACTGAATTGGATGATGTCCTGGACCCTGTTACCCAGTGCGCACAGAGCGTTGGGAAGACAAAAAGAGCACACCTTCAAAGGGCGAACTACAAGCTATTCAACGGGGTTAAAATCCTTAGGCCTCCGAAGATTCGACGGACATTATCAGAGGCACATTTCCCAGAACTGCGAAGGGTAGCTGAAGCGATTCTGCAGGAAGCTTTCAGGAAAGGAGCTATGGAGAACGGAAGAGCAGACACTCTGCAGATAAGGCAAGTCCTGCTTCTCTTTGTTTTGCTAGGAATATCTCAGGCGGGTTCCGAGTCTGGGCGCTTTTCTGTGGCAGAGGAAATGCAGAGTGGGAGCTTTGTAGGCAACTTGGCAAAGGACCTGGGAGTAGAAGTGGGTGAGCTGTTCTCAAGGGGGGCTCAGGTGGTCTCTAATGATAACAAAAACCGTTTGCAGCTGGACAAAAACACCGGGGATTTGCTCTTAAGCGAATCGCTAGACCGGGAGGAGCTCTGTGGCTCCACTGAGCCTTGTGTGCTGCATTTCCAGGTGTTAATGAAAAACCCTTTGCAGTTTTTACGCATTGAGCTCCAGGTCACGGACATAAATGACCACTCTCCCATATTCTTAGAAAAAGAAATGCTCCTAGAAATCCCAGAGAATAGTCCTGTTGGTGCTGTGTTCTTACTAGAAAGTGCGAAGGATTTAGATGTAGGAATCAATGCTCTGAAGAACTACATAATAAGCCCCAACTCTCATTTCCACATTAAAATGCGAGTCAATCCGGACAATAGGAAATACCCAGAGTTGGTTCTGGACAAGGCACTGGATTATGAAGAGCAGTCGGAGCTCAGTTTCATCCTTACTGCTCTGGATGGTGGGTCTCCAGCTAGGTCTGGGACTGCAACTGTCCGGGTGGTGGTTGTGGACACTAATGACAACTCTCCCGAGTTTGAGCAACCATTTTATGAGGTGAAGATTCCAGAGAATAGCATATTAGGCTCACTCATTGTCACCGTCTCAGCTTGGGATTTAGACTCAGGAAAAAATGGAGAAATATCATATTCTTTTTCCCATGCCTCAGAAGATATTCGCAAGACATTTGAAATTAATCAAAAGTCTGGAGAAGTCAGTTTAACAGCATCCATGGATTTTGAAACAATTGAATCATATTCAGTAATCATTCAAGCTACAGATGGGGGAGGTCTCTTTGGAAAATCAACAGTAAGAATTCAGGTGATGGATGTGAATGACAATGCTCCTGAAATAGCCATATCGTCAATTACCAGTCCAATCCCAGAAAATTCGCCTGAGACTGTGGTTATGGTTTTTAGCATCCGAGACAGAGACTCTGGGGACAATGGGAGGATGATTTGTTCTATCCCAGAAGACCTCCCTTTCATGCTAAAATCTTCAGTTGAGAATTATTACACTTTGGAAACGGAGAAAATGCTGGATAGAGAGAGCCAGGCCGAGTACAACATCACCATCACCGTCACCGACTTGGGGACCCCCAGGCTGAAAACGCAGCACAACATAACCGTGACGGTCTCCGACGTCAACGACAACGCCCCCGCCTTCAGCCAAACCACCTACACCCTGCGCGTCCG